ATGACACCCGAGAGCGCGGGAAAGCTGAATTTGACTAGGCAGGGTTGAGCGTGGGCAGGAGGTCATTACCCTAAAATTTAGCTTCGTAGACTTTGTGGTTCCCGAGATAATAATTTACCCACAAAAACTTCCACTAGCCCGTAGGTGATACCCGAGATTGCGAGAACTCTGAATTTGAATAGGGCAAGGTTAAGCGTAGGCAGGGGATCATTACCCTAAAATTTCAGCTTCCTAGGCCCCGTGTTTCCCGAGAAAATAATTTACCCGTTAAAAATTTTCATGGAGCCGTATTTGTTAACCCGCTGGCAGGGGAAAGCTGAGTTTAAATTTTTTCGGTAGCACATGGGCGGGGGACATGCTCACAAAATTTCAGCCTTCTACCATCCGTGTTTCTCGAGGCACTGATTTTACCCGAAAAACTTTTACGGGGCCGTACGTGTTACCCGCGGGAACGGGAAGGCTGAATTTAAATTTGCCGCGTTGCACGTAGGCGGAAAACACAATACTAAAATTTCAGCCACCTAGCTTTTGTGGTTTCCGAGTTGAAAGTGCGGGACAAAATGTGGGACACACACAGACAATATGCGTTTTGTACTGCTGTTACACAGCACAAAACGCATGAAAATAGAATAATGAAAAGAGAGAGGGGGAAGAGAAAACGATGTGAATGAAGAACGGAAATGGGAAAAGGATTATTTTTAAGCAATTAAGTAATACCAAAGGTTCGCTACAGATATCTCCAAAATTGGGTGGGAGGAGGCGCAATGAAATTAGTGATAGAGTGCTGAATGGTTTAGGAAGCGAACAAGCAAGTCTAGGTGCAAAAAATGCCAAAAAAAGAAGTGAAACAGGGAGGTGTGCAGCACTGCTCTCGCTCTGATCGAAGTTGGCCATCTCAGTACACTAAAAAGTTCGCTATATGGTAGAGATGTGCACACAAAGGCACTAATAAAGTACTTCCTACAGGCACCTCGAATGAGCTAGCTCCTCGAAAGACAATCTCTGGCGTCCCTCAAAAAAACCTCGCTTCCTTGTAATTCCACTTTCCTCCGCTTCCACATCGAACCCAACCTATTAAAAAAAAATTCACCCAAACCTTCAGAAGAGCACGGAAAGGGGAACAAGGGGGAGGAGAAATCGCTGAAGTTTTTTTTTTTTAAATAACGACGTATTTGGCATAACGTGGCCTGCCCACACGTTTCACAGTCACTAGCTGGGCCCC